GAGTTCTGCGAGATTCGCTTTAACACGATTAACTAGTTTCATGCGCAATAATCAGCGTGAATTTCTGTTAACAATCTTCGTAAGGCGGATGCAAAGATGTGGCGTTGGCGGCGGCGGACTGTCCAAAATCACTCGTGTATGTTTTCTGTCTCTTGATAAACTACTAGCCTCAAAACGGAACCCGCTATACACGTGCTCTTATGTTTTATCGAATAATAATTAATTCTTATTTCACACATCCTCTACATGGTGTTCTACTTTGGCTAAATTAGGAACCAAATGAAACTTCTGATAAAATACGATTGTGGCAAGAGGTAATGATAACATCGTGCATAAAAAGGCTCATGTCCTCCGACACCCCCATCGGATCTAATTTTTGCAATTATAAATCAACTACCCATAAGCAGTATAAATGTGTAATCCACCACAAACCCATAAAATATAAATAGACAACATAAAGTACGAAGTCCACTCAGCCGAAGTTCACTGGGCCTGCCTAAAACTTGCGGCTGTACACAAGGTTTGGTTTCTCTCTCGGGTTAGCTAGGCAAGTACCAGGTTCCTTGTTGCAAACTGAACCATCCGGCCGAACAATGAATGGACCCGATCGGTCGTATGATTCTCGGGCCGGCACAGGAGGACGATAAGTTATGAACCCGATGCTGCCTAATTGTTGGTAGAGAATCACTACAGGAGAATCAGTTGTGGAGCGATGCAACATGCGGGGAATTCGGAATGGAAAAAAGTTCAAGGTATAAAGACACTGGACCAACGCGTGACTAGTCTAAGATACACGCACTGTTCTTCGAAACGAGTTCGTTAAACGGATAATTATAATAACACTTTGAACTTGTCTCAAGTACGGACTACAATATTCACTAATACAGATCCACACAAAACTCTTCTGGGCATTTTTCCAGCTGGCCAATTTCGCGTAGACCGATCTTGCTGACTACTTCGGTGATAGAATTCCGGAGGAGAGAACAAATATTGTGGTATTATTATGAGTATTTATTTTACAAAAGTTTCTCACTATGGTTAGATATGTCCACAGAAAGAAATGTCAGGAAGACAGATTAGGTAATCTTATAGGTCATTCCTTTAATCCTCCTCGCCCAATCCATCTACAGTTTACAGCCGTTAGTTTTAGGCAGGCTTACTGAACCTCGACTGTACAGTAGAAGTGCCATCAGCACACGGAAGGACTGGACGTGATAA